TGACACAGGTGTAACAGCATTTATAGACAGGGTATTACCAACACAGGTGTAACAGCGTTTATAGACAGGGTATTACCAACACAGGTGTAACAGCGTTTATAGACAGGGTATTACTGACACGGGTGGAACAATGTTGACTACATTCTGCTGAAGTAGAAGGAAATATGAAAATAACAGAGCACACAACATAATCCCTCGACCTGTCTTTATTTAGTTTTATTTGTTAACCTAAACAATGGAGGAAACGTTTATTTGTTTGTGAAAATTGTCACTGTGATGAATCATATATTCTCTGATGAACAATGATGAAAATACAAAGTGTGTTGTAAACATTCTACAAAATCCAACTATATATACATATAATAAAAAGGCCAAACATCTCCCTGACACTGGGGGAAAGCTGTCAGAAATATGTACAGAAATGTGTATTTCCTGGTCTGTTAAAAAATCAATATTTCTTCCAGTATCCATGACAGAATCCTGCAAGAAAAAACATTTTTATTAATAATTTTAAAAATGGATACTAAAGAAACTTAATGCATGTTAAGTTTTTTTATTTATCTTTTTATTATAATTTCCACCTGGTAGTTATATGTTGAATCAAATTAATATAATTTCTTCACAATTTAACAACAGAAGTCAATGAAATAATTATGTAACCTTTAGCATTTCGTACGTTCCCTAGTTTCATCCAATTACACTCGGATATTTTCATATTATTTGTAAAAACCAGCAACAAAAACTTATTACATGAGAAATAACCACAAAAATTCTTCCTCTAAATGTTTATTTGTTCAATACCACAATAAAAAGTTTAAAAACCACTTAAAAGAAACAAAACTAATAAGTTAACAAAATGGGTGTAACAAATATAAAAAAAGTTATCTTAAATAAAAATATAAACCTTTCTCAAGAGTATTTCTGAGCTAAAGTGAGGCCAGCATCACAATCCATTGTCTTCTGTTGCTTTCCTACAGTTAAAAAGCCATTTTATGACACGAGCATTTTTTTTCAATAATAGATGTCTCAACTGGACCATGATCTAACAGGTCCTGACCCCGCAATCCATCTTTATTGCTCAAGTTATCTTGCATAGAGTCCTCGCTGCACACTTGTGACCGATGATCATCAGTATTGATTGAGCTGCCGGATCCAAAAAACTGCGGGGGTGAGGATGTTGTAGAAGACCCCGTTAACTGTTTCCATATGCTGGATTCAAGTCCCATACTGTCAAAGAAACGTTCTAATTCTGGGGAACACCTGTTGGTCATCCTATGGAATTTCAAGGAGGGTTGATTACGGCTATACCGATAACCAACATCTGATTTGGACCGACCCGTGGGCTTTCTCCGCACACTGCCACTTTCTGATGTGATCAGTACAGACATAGCATGCTTGTTTGATTCATGATAAGCCTGTCTAATGACATCATCAGGGTCACTTTCAATGACATCATCATAATCACTGTCATCAGCATTATCATCACTTCTAAAAGCAGAGTTTCTAGTCTCGTGATGAGGGATAGAAGAAAGCCTGGGACTTGTACTAAGGGATGTTGTTTCACAACTCTCAGAAGAAGAAGAGTGATGAGCACATCTTACTTGTTTGCCTTTAGATTGAGAAAGATCTGGCATACTTTTATTAACACTATAAGTCGTTTGCTGGATTTCATGAGAGTTACACTTTGAGACAGGATCAGTATTTCCACACAGATCCTTAGTGTCAGAAAAATTGGTTTCCTCTTCTCTAAACTTGAAGTGTTTTAGGTTTTCAATGGATCGTCCTGTTACCTGATGACATAACGGAAGGTTCCTGGACATTTGAGAGTACTTTGTTTCAGAACGAGACTTGGTCCATTCCCTACCGATTGGTCTTTGCTGACCTCCGCTCTGACATTCACTATTTAGGGTTTCATATATCTGTGAATATTTTGATGCCCCCTTCAAGAGAGAATCACGTTGAGATTGAGTAGACAGCTGAAGGCAGGCACTGTGTTTGAAGGGCTGCCTACTATCCAGTACTCTCTCGGACTTCACATAGTTAGCCTTACTCTCCTCAAGACGTTCCACAGCACTCTTTCGGTGACCTAGAATGTAAACAAATAAGGATTAATGGATGTAAAACACAGAACCTGGTTGATTTTCAGAACCTAAGTATCTAATAAAATGTTACTATTTACATTTTCCTAAAAACACCCATTTCATGTGAACATAGTGTGATACCCCTGTACCCTGCTATTACCTGATGTACCACAAATATGCTCTCTCTACATTAAGTTAACTTATTAAATATAAAGAAAAGCCACCAAGCCATTTTAAAAGTGACATTATAGAAACATTTTGTCCACTGGTACGGCATAAAATTATGTTGCAAAATTACCATTCCCTTGGTAAACTAGTATGAAATAACCTTTAGGTTGTAACATCAGCTGGTAAAAAAAAAATATACCCTATACCCTACGTATATTTAGAAACATGGATCAGGTGTAACATACCTGTTCCTTCTGTTAACAAGTAACAATGATCTGGTGTAACATACCTGTTCCTTCTGTTAACAAGTAACAATGATCTGGTGTAA